TCTAGGCCCGAAACGTCAGCTTTCCTGCTCCTCTGATGCTGCTTGGCCTGCTGTGTTCATCCAGCTCTACACCTTGTTATGTCAGATTCTCCAGCATCTGCAGTTCCTACTATCTCCGAAATGAATCCTGTATACCATCGATTGCAAGTACCAGTTTCAGAGTAATTGAAGTATATGAAGTAACACACTACAAAAGGTAACAATAATGGCATAACTACCAATCTTGCCCAGATACTGAAAATGAATTTTAAAAACAAGCAGCTGCACAAAAATTACACCAAAGAAACAGTTTTATCATCTCTTCCTTCAAATCATTCATTGAATTTATTCTTAGATGTTATTTTCTGCTTCAAGCCTTGATTTCTGGATGCATCCAGTCATACAATCATAAATGTACAGCAGCTTCTTCTGCAACCTCTCCTAAACCTGATTAAAACTATTTATATATCTCTACCTCTGTTTAATTGCCTCAACCACCAAATAGTTCTCTTTCTGCTTCATTTAGTCAAGTTTAAATTATCCATAACCTATTCTTACAAAAGTATCCTCAATTCTTGATACCTGCATATTTGCATTTATTTTCACCACACAATTGCTTAATAAATCTGTGCTTGCTTCAACTTCCCTCAACGTGAAACCCAAAAAACGCACTTATTCCAAAATTGATGTATTTATGACTAATGCTTAATTTTTATACTCCTTGTAAAGGATGCCCAAAGAGGTGCAGGTTAGGTGGACTGGCCATGCTAAATTGCCCATTGTGTCCAGGGATGTATAGTTCACGAGAACTACCCATGGAAAATGCAGGGTTATAGAGACAGAGTAGGGGTGCGAGTCTGGGTGGGCTGGTCTTCAGAGTTGGTGTGGACTTGTTGGGCCAAATGGCCTGTTTTCACACTGTAGGGATTCTAAATTATAAACAAAACCTATCTTCCTGTGTTTATAAATCCCACAGATTCACTACCATCAGAAGAAATTCCTCCTCATCCATTTTAAGTGGGCGACCCCTTACTGACTGTGTTCTCTGGAACTAGACTCACCGACAAGTGGAAACAAACTCTCAGCATCTAAGCTGTCAAACCCCTAACAATTTCATATGTTTCAATGAAGTCATTTCGCAATCAAAACTCCACTGAGCCCAAACAGACCTATTCAATCTCTCAAGAAAATCCCTACATACCCAGGATTTTATAAATTGCAGATGCTTCTCCAAGTTGTGCGGCAATTTATCTAGAGCTTTCTGAAGGTCCATGTAGAATATACCAACACACTTCAACCAGAAATGTCACCATTTCAACTTTCCTAATCTAGCTGACTACTTATGTCATGATGACGAGAAAATAATTACATAGTTTACTTGCTCTTTCATTAAAGACCCAACTCCACATCCCAAGTTCGACCTTTTTTTCTGACTCCTTCTGAAAAAATCAAACTTTCAAATAATTACTTCTTGAATAATACATGCCACCTTTTGTAGGTCCATGGTATCACGAAGTAAATGGAAACGTCTCCAAAAAGAGAAACTACCCAAAAGACAGAACCTTTCCAAATGAACTGAATGGAAGAGCAATTAACCTAACCAACTGGGTATGGTTACAGCAATTCGGCTTTGTGGCAAAATACCATTACACAAATGCACTACACAGCACATTAACAGAGCATTAAGTGATATAAAGCTACATAGCACTGTTTGGTCTTTGACATCATTCACCACCAAACTTTTATCTCACTTAAGTGAGACTGTCAATTGTGAGGTTAAAATGCACACAATTTTAATACATACCCTGAAGTCCTTTCGTAGAAGGTTGATATGGAGCCTGCCAAGTTGGTTAAAACTGCTTGAATTGCTGAAGCCACACATAAGTGATTGAAGATACTGGACAGAATGCTGACAATACCAACTCCAATAGATACCACTCCTGCTGTTGGTGTTTCAAGTTGAGATTCACTGGAACTTAGTTCATGAAAAGCATCTGTGATTTTCACTAAAAGTTTGAGCAGCGACGTTAGATTTCCTAGAGGTTCCTGTTTTTTTGTTAGCCAGTGAGTAGGGGTATGAGGTGCTGAAAGGAGAGAACACAATTGATAAACTTAGTTATTCATGGTAATAACAAATGCAAATAATACCAGTGACATTCCAAATTTAGTATTCTTAAACTGGTTACTGATTTATGGTTACTCATTTGTGGGCTTCTGGAATTTTGCTAAGTTTGCTAAACTGTTCGAAAACATTGTGGGGAATCTTTCCAATCAAGCAGAATAATTTCAGCCCTAGAGAATAAAATCTGTGCTTTTCACAGGTTAGGACACCTAGTTAAATTGTAAAACCATTCTGGCCAACAACTTGAGATCTCAAATTCAAAAGAACAATGGTAATTCACCAGAAAGATGACACTACTAATTCTACTGTGATTTTAGTATTCAGTTTGGGCAGCATCTTTTTCTGAATAAATCTGAATGTGACTGGCTAAACACCAGTTGTGACCAGGATTCAATGCCCTGGAACAAATGATAGCGCGCTAACCCATTCCAGCGGTGTCAATGTAAATACAGTGCTTAATTGTGACAAACATCTTAGCCGTCATCGAGTAATAAATACAAAAATTTTCAGGGAGCAATGAGCAGATTACTTCAGATTTCAGGATGATTTTGACTGAAGTACCTAGTCTGGAAATGGGCAGAAAATTAGATTTATTAGAATTCTTAACAGACACAAAGATGAGTTATCCCAACTTATGGCCTCTTCTAGTTCCATATATTGGTTGCATTTGGAATAAATGGTTAAGTAAAATATTTTAGTGATTCACCTAAACCCCTATCTCCTGAAGCAAAGGTAGACCTGCTTGGATTACGTCTAATTTCCAAAATTATTACACCACAATTCTCTCGATTTACAACAATGCATACTGCAGTGCAATTATGAGAAGTGGGATACGTACTACTTGATTTTTGCTGAAACTTTGTTGAGAACTGAGAGAAATCAACACAGTCGACCATCACATTCAGAACATGAACAATGGCATCCAATGTAGATGAATTCTGGAGAAAGGAGAGGAATCCTCAATTAAACTATTCTTAGTTGTGATGTATTTATTGTACAGTAAGAATGATACAGGTAAGAGAACATTCATCCATCCAGAAATATACTAGCCTCCCACCATGCTACGTTAACCTCCATAATTAGTAAGTGGTACATTTTATTAGCTGATTACACTCAAGAATCTCCGAACATTATTCTCATCCCTAGGCCATTGATTAGCAGCAGTAATACAGATTTACTTTATGTTTTTTGCCACTTTGTTTCCCCTCAGCTATCTTCAAATATTAAAAAAGTCTAATATTTCCCAGTTTTCCTTCATAAATTATGTTATAGTTCGAGTTATAGATTCTGCCTACAATTACTTTGATTGTATTTCCCCTGGATTATGAGAAAGTACAGAAATGAACACAAGACCTGTTGCCAGATTGCAAACCATATGCACGATATATTCGAAAAGGGCAGAATACTTAGATTGTATAGATCAATTGATTTGTTGTTTGCCTGATGTAGCTGACCGAAGTGGTCAATGAAAAGTGTACTATTTTTCTACATCTTACCCTTAATTACAACCTGCAGATAATTAGAGCAAATTACTCAATTATCTTAAATTCTATGATAAAGGTGAATAATTCATGTACAGTTGCTGGTGTATCTGGTTCTTGGGATTCACACTTTCAAACTATCAATTACAGGTAGTATGGAAACTGGTTAGGGTTAAAAACAAGGAGCACTTGCTAAAAGAGCTATTCCCCAGATTCTATTTCAGGGCAATTTAAAACTGGATACAAGGCTGAGAAGTTAGGCTGTAGGAAATAAAAAAAAAATTGTTTCCAGACCAGAGATAATTCTGCAATATGTACGCCTAAAGCACTGAATATTCTTGTAGATAAATCAGCTCCACTTGGTGTATAAATAACTACTTACAGATAAGGTAGCATCATCCAATGCTGACAAGATTTTGACACTTAATTCCTCACAGCAAACATTGGCTTCTGCTGTTGCCACGAGAGCTGCGCAGCGGGCAAACGTTTTATACAACTCAGCCCACGTTCTCAGTAGTGACTTCATTGTAGGCTGAAGGGCAGAAGAGATAAAATAATTTAATTTCATAACTATAGAATTCATTTCATATATATTACACCCATAACATTTTTCATATAGTGCCTTTAACCAGTAAACAAATTCTTAATGCATGTGTGCAGTTTACAGAAATTACCAATTCCATAGTGAATATAGTTGTAACCATTTCTGCTTAAATGGTAAGACACAACAAGAGAGCTACATCTACTTATTCTATGATTCTCACGTCCTTTTTAAATCAATAATTATTTCCATACACCAAGTCACCCCTCACTCTTCTGAGCACCAGCAGAAACAAACGCCTTTGTCCAACCACTCTTCATGAGACAATCCATTCATTCCAGATATCAATCTAGTAAGCGTTCTCTGAACCATTTCCTGCCACGTACATCCATCCTTAAAAGAGGGCAGAAGTTGTACCACTGTATTCAAGGTCTCACTAATGCTGTGAAACTGAAGCATAACATCCCCATATTTACGGTCAAATCCTCTTATCATAAAGGGTAGCATTCTATCAGCCTTCTTAATTATTTGCTGTACTTTGGTATTAATCTCTGGTGACTCATGCAGTTGAATACTTAAATCATTTTACATATCAGAATTCTGCAGTCATTCTCAATTCAAGTAATACTGTCTTTTCTGTTTTACTTCTCCTGCCAAAGTGAAAAAAATTTGTATTTTCCCACATTATACAATATACAGATTCACTCGAGCTATACTATTTGCATACTCAGATCATCCTCAAGATGCTTTTTAAAAAATCTTATCTTTGCAGCATCTGCAAATTTAGTGATCATGTCTTATTAAATTTAACTGTTACGTACATACAACCCCTTGTTTGGCTTTTCAGGCACAGAAGCAGTGTCCCTACCTTTGGCACAGTTGGGACTTAAACCCAGGACTTCTGGCTCAGAGGTGTGTGTATATACAGAAGATAACATTTTAATCAACACACATATCTCACCAACACCCTTTCACAGTGTAAGAAACTCCTTGAGTTTACGTCTTAGCATCCTCTTCTCCAAGCAATCCTGACTGATAATAACCATTTGGTTCTGGTTTTAACCTTGTACAATATTTTTGCCAGTATCTCTACATATAATTTGTCATTAGAGACCAGAACTGTACATTATCGAACTAAATTACGTATTTTTGACTATGTAAAAAAAAAATTATGGTTACCTGTGGAAAATTCTGCATTGAAAACAAATGATTTATGGGTAGCATCAACGCAATGTACATAGCACCGAAATTATGCTCAAGTGCATCCCCTTGATTTACTTCATTGGTCTAAGAAATAAAGAATAAATATAAATCTCAATTTTAGAATTAAAACATGAACACAACATCTTACGTTTAAGAGTGTAGAATTTGATGGGTGTACCACGTATATTAAAACTGCCTAGAGAATATTCATCTCGTAAATTGCAAAAAAAATAGAATGGGGAAAGAAGACAGCATTCTAGTTTATAACCATCATACCTGGGTCACACGTTCGGTCAATGGGTTAACAACAATGCTCCACATTCGCCAAAGGTGCTCCTTGTCTGTGACCAGCATTGCAGATTGGTTAATAACATTTAAAACTGATTCACTGAATGCTAATGAACATGTGGGTCCAGACAGTCCATATTCAACAAGTGTCTCAAGTGTCATAAAAAACCTGAATTAAAGATTAAAAATAAAAAAAGTCAGCATAGGCACTTGTAGAAACATTCCAATTGTGTCATAAGTTTCCCAGTAATCAACTGCAATTCAGTGATAAATAATTTGGAATCCCGCCACAAGCTGAGCTTTCATTAAATATACAACTCCAGCAACTTATACCAAAATAGTTTTTTAAAAAATCCACCTCAGAAAAGTCACATGTAGTGTTCAGCAAGAGAAGGCATCAGATTTTCTGAAGAAGGGTCTAGGCCCGAAACATCAGCCTTCCTGCTCCTGATGCTGCTTGGCCTGCTGTGTTCATCAAGCTCTACACCTTGTTATCTCAGATTCTCCAGCATCTGCAGTTCCTGCTATCTCTAAGGCATCAGATTAATTCAGTTTAAAAAACCCACACCACTACTTCTAAACTCCAATGAATTAAGTATATTGCCCTATAAAACGTAACTCTTAATTCCAGGAATCAGCCGAATGAACCTTCCTTGAACTGCTTGCAATGCAAGTATTGCTTTTTCATTTAAAAAAAGAAATGACCAAAAATATTGTATGGGAACAATCTCACCAATCCTCCTGTACACATGTAGTGAGATTTCCTGACATTCATATCCTACTCCCCTTGCAATAAGAGATTGAGTTTCCATAGCTCTATGTAGAAACTTGATAGGATTTCAAAATTCCAGTGTCCTGCAGCAGGGGAACTTCTATTTGACCCATTATGTCTGTTCCAACTCTCTGAAAAAGCAATCTTAGCATCCCCACAACCCTTTTTCTTTTCTTATGGCCCACCTACTTCTATCCTTTAAATTTTTTCTTGAATCAGCTCCAATTACCTTTCTCGACAGTGCATTCCAGATCATAACAGACTGCATAAATAGAATGTCTCAAACATCTTTTTCCTCAAAACAACTTTTCCGTATATATTTGTTTTAATATATTTTCATTTGAACCTTGTAGATGGTGGTCTTGTATTTTAACTGCTGCTCTGTCCTTCAGGTGTTAGGAGATGTGGATTTGGAAGGTGCTATAGATCTGGCTTGGTGAGTTACCACTGTATCTTGTAGATGGCATAAATTGCTGCCACTACTTCAGCAACAAAGGGAGTGAAAATTGAATATGGTGATTGGGGTGGCACTGGGCAGCTTTGCCTTGAATGGTGTCAAGCTTAGAGTGCTTTTGGAGCTGTACCTTCTTGGCAAGTGGAAGAGTATTCCATCATACTCTTGACACGGGCCTTGTAGGCGATAGACAGGCATTGGAGAAACAGGTGGTAACTTGCTGCAGAATTCCTAGCCTCTGACCTGCTCTTGCAGCCACAATATTCATATGACTGGTATAGTTCAGCTTCTGGTCAATAGTAACCCTTGGATTGTTACTAATGAGGCATTCAACAACAGGTTTACAATGAATGTTAAGAGGCAACAGTTAAACTTTCTCTTGTTGGAGATAATCATTCCCTGGCACTTGTGTGACATGAATGTTATTTGCCACTTATAGTCTGGATGTTGCCTAGGCTTTGCTGCATATGAACAACAACCACTTTAGTATGCAAGTCGTGGTAAAGGCTGGAGAACACTGCAATCAGCAGCAAACACACCTATGTATGACCTCATGATAGAAGGAAAGTTGTTGTTGAAGCAGCCAAAAGGTAGTTGGACTGGGGACATTACTCTGAGGGACTTCTGCAAAGACCTCCCGAGACTGAGATAATTGACTGCAGACGACTGTAACCAACCTTCTCTTTGGCTAGATACGTCTCTAACCAGTGGAGAGTTTTCCTCCTGATTTTTAATGACTCCAGTTTTGTTAGGGCTTCTTGATATCAAAGCTGCCTTGAGGTCAAAAGCAGCCCCTCTCAATGCACTGAAGAATTTTTTTTTTGTATAATACCATCAGATGTTGAGTAATGGTTGACTAAATATTAACAGTCAAGCCAATGTATATTTCGAGTAAGAACAAGAGCCAGCAATTCAGTTTCTTACATAGAGTAGGGAAAAAAAAATGATTGTTACTGAACAGGATACAAAATCCCCATGTAATTAAATCAAAGTCAAGATAAAAAAAGATACATTGTACTTCAAACATATTTAGGAAGTAGATAACATTAACTGAGATAAATCCATAGGTGTTGGCAGTAAAGTGCATAGACGCACCTTTCTTCAACCACACAACCTTCCAGTAAATTATTGTGAAAGAGTAGGATGATCATGAAGAGTGCAGGAGTACCCTGAAATTACAATACAATTTTGATTAAATTAATTGACTAAATAGATTTCTTAATTTCTAATAGTGTTAAACAAAATATAAGAACATTGACAAAAAACTACAACAGAAGAAACAAACAGTGATACTTGCTGTATATTTCATGCCAGTCACCTTGCCCACATACAGGCAAGTTAACTACAAAAATTGTGGCTAAAATGTTTTTGTCTTACACTCACCTGACAACACACAATACCAATGTAAAGGAAAAAGATAATAAAAACCGCAAGGAAAAACATATACAGATTGCATGAGGAGTGTGCTGATTAATAGGCAAATGACCTCTGATGTGTAGAAGCACAAACATGGAGAATACATCAGTTAATGATGACTAAAAGTTAACTGCCAACTCGTCAGCACTCTCCTCCTACAGAATAAACTTGGATTTCCTTTTACATTGGTACTTCTTGTAAATTGTTCCAAGTGCAAGACAAAGCGCTTCAACAAAATTTAAGTTTTGAAATGGGAATTCCGAAGAAACCATATTGGACTGAAAATGTTAACTTTATTTTATTCTCTGTAGATGCTGCTAGACCTGATTTTACTTCAAAAGTAAAGTACCTTTTAAGAACAATACTCAAGTTCTGTATAACCAGGAATATAGTCATTTAATTTGAATGCATTTCTGAAGAAAGACACTGTTGAAGCCGCATGTATTACATGCGTCAGGACAATTTGCAAGAACAATTCAAGTGGAATGAATGAGAGGAAAGGTAAAGGATTCACAACATTCGTACTGTATGGAGAGTTTGCGGATTGGTGCATTCGCCATGGTAATTAATGGTGATCGTCAAAACAGTCTGACTGACTGACTGATTGATTGATTTCTCTGCACTGTCTGATCAACCAGCAAATGGCTGTTGTCTAATTTGTTGATATGAAACAGGCACGATGCTACTGAATGGCACAGCAGGCTTCAGGGGCTGAATGGGCTACTCCTATTCCTACTTCTTATGGTTTTAACAAGAAACCAACAATTCTTGACAGATAATTAGTTCTTTTGTTTTTTAAAAAAAAGTTTATATTTTGTTGCAAGAAGAATTCAGAAAATAGGAACCTGTAGGTCACTTAGCCTAAAATTTGTTATTGGGAAGGTGCTAGAATACACTGAGATAAGAGGATATTCATAAAATCAGGCAGAATCCATGATTGTTAAAAAAGGTGAATATATTTGACAAATTTTCAGCGCTCTTTAAAGGTGTAACAAGCAGGGTACAAAGGGTATCAGTAGATTTAATGTATTTAGATTTCCAAAAGGTATTTGAGAAGGTGCAAATGAAGCTCATGATCGGAGGTGATATATTAACATGGATAGATAACTAACAGGAAAAAGTAGAGGTAAATAGGTCATTTTCAGTTTGGCAAAACAATAACTCAGAGCGCTAACTGAGGGATGTTGCAGAGGTGGGGGTTAGCCATTTACGATTTATCTGAAAAAAAGTGTATGAAGGAACTGACTGTAGCAAACCAACTTTATATCTAATACAAAGATAGGACATTCTGCAAACAATAGAATTTGCAAATGGGCACACGTCATCCTGATTTTGAAGTATGTTACTGTTCCTTTGCTCACACTGGGTCAAAATCCTGGAACAGTACCACTGGTGTACCTACTCCTTGCACTGATACAGTTAGAGGCAGCAGCTCCCCAGCACTTTCAGAGCAATTAGGAATCAGCAATGAATTCCAGCCTAGACAGTTATGCTCACATGCTGTGATCAAATAAAAAGACTTAAAAAAAAAAAAAAATCTGGCAGATGAAGTAACATGAAATTCTTCACTTTGACAGGGAGAACAGCAAAATAGATAACACAAAGGCTAAACAGTGAAGAATGTCATGGTATAGAGAGCCCTGACAAACCACTAAAGTTAATTTGCTGAAACAGCTAGTAATGGAATATTGTTCTTTACTGCAAGGGAAGGGGATGGTAGGAAAGTCTCGCAATGACTACAAAGAATTAGGGTTAGGTTATGGTGTACAGTTTTTGACTCCCTACAAAAGAATATAACTACATTGGGCACAGTTCAGAGAAGGTCCACCAGGCTGAAGGGGTCAGCTTCTGAAGTAAATGTTGAGAAAGTTGGGACCATACTCATTAGGATTTAGAAGAAAAACAGGTAATCTTACTGAAACATAAGATTCTGAGTGGGCTTTGATGGAGTAGATTCCGAGAGAAAAGGTCCCCTTCATTGGGAATCTATAATTATGGGACAGATTAAGAAATCAGGAGTCTCCCATTTAAGACAGAGAAAGCAAGTTTTGAAATGGGACAGAAAAATAAGAATTTCAACAGAAAATAGTGATTGCTGAGTCAATGAATATTCAAGACTGAGTTAGAGAGATTTTTGATTGTCAAATATTATGAAGTCAGACAGGAAAGCAGTTAGGGCTGTAAGCAGATCAGCTTTGATCTTATCAAATGGCAGGGCAGGCTGAATGGACTAAAAATGTACTACTCTTGCTTTTTTTTTTAAAATGATGTTATAAAGCTAACCATCTCCTGATTGCTCGCAATGCAACAAAACACAGGAGAAGACAGTGCAGGTGACTGCTTGGCTGGAAAGAAATTGATATTCCTGAGATTTTGTACTGGTTTTAGGGAAGGTACAACCTCTATGGAACCAGAGCCACGTATGCTCGTATTATTGAGATATGTTGAAATCTGTTTGGCGGGTGAACGGGAGCCAAAGTGCAGATTCAGGAGGAAGACGAGCAAAACTGGCAACAGACACAGAAAATTAATATGCGATTAGTGGCATATATTGCAATTCAAGGAGTCTGTGAACACGATAGATAAATTTTGGTTACAGATTCACCACCCCCGGCTGAAGTAATTCCTCATTTCAATTCAAAAAGGTCTTTCCTTCACTCCGAGGATGTGCTATTCAAGGGGTGCTATTACTGAAATATTAATGAAAATGAAATACTTAAATAAGTGGCAGGAATGGCAGGTCAACATTCCTGTTACCAGGATTTTCCACATAAAAGGGAATTAAAAAACTGGAGCATGCCGGTCATAATGAGAAACAAATCAATTAAGGTTGGGAAGAGGGTTGATATAGTAGAAGGAGCATCAAATAAAACCATATAGGTTAAAACTACAGAACAAAAAAAAAGAGATAGAGACAATCTTGTTGCTCGGAATATACAACAGAACACCAAAGACTCAGAGGAAGAAGAACAAATGTGGCCAACTGCAGAAAAGGTAGCATCAGGGAATATCGACTATCCTAAAATAAGTTGGAACAAATTAATTGAAGAGATAGAGGATGCAGAATTCCTAAAATGCATTCAGAAGAACTTTTTTGGTAATGTTTGCAGCAAGCACAACAAATGAGGTGGTAATTCTGGATTTTACTAAGCTGAAATGTAGTACAGTAGAATAATGGGCTAAAAAATCAGTATCACTTCCAAAAATTATGGGACTCTCAAATCTAGACCAATCCTGGTGACAAAGAATATAAAAAGTAGAATAAGAGGAACGAAAGAAACTGTGTGTTAGATATCAGAGCCCAATCCTGCACAAAGCAGGAGGATTACAGAAAAAGTAGGGTGAAATTATACAGCAATAAGCAAAGCAAAAAGAGGGCATGAAAATATATGCACAAGTAAAACCAAGGAAAACCCAAAGACTTACTGTAAATACTGAAAGAGGAACCAAGGTGACATTGTAGTTATGGAGCTGTGTGAATATTGAATGGGATAAACATTGAGAGGGGAGAATATTAAAATATGTCCCGCATTCTTTAAAGTGGGTGAAAAGATAATCACCAGATGCAGTTGAAATGTATTCTAAGAAGAGAAGAGGCAGCGCTGGAACGATAACTATTCATTAACAACCTGGATGAAAGAACCAAGAGCATTGTTGCCTAGTTTGCAGATGACACAGATTGGTGGGGGGCAGGTTGTGTTGACTAAGAAGGGAGGCTGCAGAAGAACTTTGACAGGCCAGGAGCAAAGAAGTGGCAGATGATGTACAATGTGGTTAAGTGTGAGGTTACACATTCTGGTAGGGAGAATAGAGGTGTAGACTATTTTCTAAACAGTGAAAGGCTTCAGAAATGTGAAGCACAAAGTTACTTGGGAGTCTTAGCTCAGGATTCTCTTCAGGTTTACACATGGGTTCAGTTGGCAGTGAGGAAGGCAAATCATTTCAAGAGGGCTAGAATATAACACAGATGTACTGCTAAGATCATACAAGGGTCTGGTTAGACTGCATTTGGAATACTGAGTGCAGTTTTGGGCTCCATAATAAAGAATGGGTGGGCTAGCTTTGGAAGGAGCACAGAGGAAGTTTACAAGAATGATCGCAGGGATGACGAGCTTGTCATATGAGGAGTAAGTGAGGACCCTGGGTCTGTACTCTATGGAGTTTAAACAAAATGAGGGGGGATCTCACTGAAACCTACAGCATACTGAGAGGCCTGGATAGTGCTGATGTGGAGATGATGTTTCCACTAGCAGGACAGACTAGAATCCAAGGGCACATCCTTGGAGTGAAGGAAAGACCTTTTTGAATTGAAATGAGGAATTTCTTCAGCCGGGGGTGGTGAATCTGTGAAACCCATTGCCGCAGAGGGTTGTGGAGGTCAAGTTAGAGGGTGGTGAATCTGTGGAATTCATTGCCAAAGAAGGCTCTGCCAACAAAGTCACTGAGCGTATTTAAGACAGAGAAATGGATTCTTGATTAGTAAAAGGAATCAGGGATAATGGACAGAAGGCAGGTGAAAGGTGTTGAAAAACATATCAACCACAATCGAATGATGGAACAGACTTGATGGCCAAATGACAATTTTTCTCCAAATCTTATGGTCTCAGCAAGGGAAGAAATAAAAAATTTCTCACTATATTTTTCCCAATCTTCAATAGCTTATAGTTATGCCACTGGAGGATTCCTAATGTTGTATAAAAAAGGGCAGAATGGATAGTACAAATCATTGCAGGCCACGCAGCCTAACCTCAATGTTGGGGAAATGAGTAGATAACTTTCTGCGATGTATAGAGCGACTTATAGGGAAAAGGAAAACGGGAATACACAATAAATAGTAGGATTCCAAGAGTAGGTGAACAGTTGCACATGCAGTCTACATCTACAGATTTGTGAAGACAGTAGGACAGGAAACAAAAATGGTCAAGGTGGTGTACAGATACTTTGTTGGCAGAGGTCTAGAGTTTACAGCAGGCAGATTATATTAGAACTGTGCTAGTTAGACTGCAACTCTAGTACTGTGCAGAGTTCTGGTCACTGTACTACATGAATGATGTAACCTCATTAGAAAGTGTGCAACGCAGATTTAAAAAGGATACAGCCAAGAGTGAGAATATCTGCCAGAAAACTGGATTGACTGAGTTTGATCTCTTTGGAATGGAGAAGGCTGAGGAGAAGACTTAATGGGGATGAATAATATTAAGGATAAGGTAAATCAAAGAACTGCAGATGCTGGAGATTTGAAACAGAAATTGCTGTAGAAACTCAGCAGCATCTGCGGGAAGAAAGCAAAATTAACGTTTCAAGTCCTGATTAACAGTCAGCGTAGACTCGTTGAATCAAATGGCCTCTTTCTGCATTGTGGGGATTCTGCGATTCAAAACCTAAAAACTTATATTTGTTCACACAAAGTCTAATACTTAAGCTGCCCCAAACTGAACAACTCGAGAAAGGGTGCTTGTATTGATTAGCAGTTGGTAAAGAGTAATGGAACTTTATTCATCACTCTAGCACATCTTTTCTCACATCACAACAACATAACACAAGATACATGCATACATTCAGAAGGTCCATGTTGGCGACCTGGTATGCTGGTGATCCTAAAATCTTTTGAGGGAGTCCACTGACAGTTGCCTCTATAAGGGCCTGGAAAGAAAAGCAAGCAACAAAATAACAGCATTATTCATCCATACATCACTCTCCCCTTCACCAGGGTGTGACACCAAACCACACAGAATACAAAATTTCGGACTTAAAATTTCCAATATGTATCCAATTAGAATGACAGCAAGGGCTGTGTACCTGGTCTCAGCACTTCAAGGGTACATGAGGATTTAATGAGGAATGAGCATCAACAGTTGAATGTTGTCAACACAAACCATCTATGATCAAGCATGAATAATGCTGGGCAAGATATCAGAGGAAAATGGATGTGTAAGAAAACAAAAGGGAGATGAAGAGGACAAAGAAATGGGAGTTTTAAAAAAAAAAACTGGTAACGATAGATTAAAATTGTACATTCTTCATTCAGCAGCATTTTATTTCAGGTCTAGATTTGTAGGTTCTTTTAAAAAATTGTTTGCATTAGTGACAGTATAAATTTCAGTGTTGGCTTTTAAACACTTATAAACAACTTCACTATTTGGATGCTCCACATTGAATGTAACTGGTACATTTCATGTCATCAAGAGGCAAGATACACAAGGACAGGGTTAGAGGAAATAAAAACGTAATTGGAAAATTTATCTTTTCACTGTCTAATAAGGATTGAAGCAAGTAGTGATTGGAGAAAACAGCTGGATTCTTTCATTTAATCTGGATTCTAAAATGAAAGTGCCTAAGATTTCAAACCAAAAATCAGAAGATGGAGAAACTCAGCTTTTATTACTCTAAAATTAAAGTAAAGTAAAAAGTAAGAATTCAACGACACAATTATACCCAAAGTAAACTGAATACTTTTCGTTCATGAAGTGTCAATTGAAACAAAAATGCATTCCACATAACTGGTACATCTGCACTTGAACAGGGATAAACGTTATAGCATGTCTCCAAAGGAAGTTTTTACTTTTGACAGCATTAAAATACAGTCAGTAATTAAAGAGAGACTTACTTAATGCAATCCAGGCTATCCTTTTCTGCTAAACTAAAATGAATAAACAAGTTTTAAAAAGTTACAACTGACTAAGTATTTCAAAAAGCAAATAGTTTAATGTACTTACCAAGGCTTTCTGTGCGGAGATTGCATTTGAATTCGCTATCTGCTGTAATGCTTGCAGCAGGAGTGTCAATATTTCTGATGGCTGTCGTTCTTTCTTTGAACCTTAAGTTAAAGAGCATCTTAATATTAGAAACAAACGCTTCCACATTATTCTGCATAAGTCAAAGTTCCTGACATTTTGCTTAATTATCTATAGCAGTTTAAGATAGTATACAAAAGGATTAGAATAATTCCAGTGCCATTTTTCTCTCATGCCAATAACAAGGTCAGAGCAACATTGGGGTAACAGGGTGCTTACACAAACATACAAATTAGCAGAAGCAGGCCACTCGGTTACTTGAGCCTCTTCTGGCATTCAATATCATCCATGTTCCCACTCAGTCTAAAGATACTTTTTTTCTCTATTCCTTTGTGGGAGGTGGGTATCACTGGCCGGCGCATTTCTTGCTCATCCCTAGTTGCCCTTGAGAAGGTGGTGATGAGCTGCCTTCTTGAACCGCTGCAGTCCACCTGCTGTAGGTTGACCCACAATGCTATTAGGGAGGGAATTCCAGGATTTTGACCCAGCGACAGTGAAGGAATGGCAATATATTTCCAAGTCAGGTGGTGGGTAGTTTGGAGGGGAACTTGGAGGTGGTGGTAATCCTGGTCTGCTGCCCTTATCCTTCTAGATGGAAGTGGTCGTGGGTTTGGAAGGTGCTGTCTAAGGATCCTTGGTGAATTTCTTCAGTGCATCTTGTAGATAGTACACACTGCTGCTACTGAGCGCCAGTGGTGGGGGGAGTGGACGCTAGTGGATGTAGTGCCAATCAAGCAGGCTGCTTTGTCCCAGACAGTGTCAAGTTTCTTGAGCGTTGTTGGGGCTGCACTCATCTAGGCAAGTAGGGAGTATTCCATCACTCTCCTGACTTGTGCCTTGTAGATGGTGGACAGGCTTTGAGGAGTCAGGAGGTGAGTTACTTGCCGCAGTATTCCTAGCTTCTGACCTGCTGTTGTAGCCAGTGTTTATGTGGTGAGTCCAGTTGACTTTCTGGTCAATGATAACCCCTAGGATGTTGATAGTGGGGGATTCAGTGATGGTATCATCATTTAATGTCATGGGGTGGTGGTTAGATTGTCTCTTATTGGTGATGGTCATAGCCTGGCATTTGTGTGGCACGAATGTCACTTGTCAGCCCAAGCCTGGATATAGTCCAGATCTTGTTGCATTTGAATACTGACTGCTTCAGTATCTGAGGATTTGCAAATGATGCTGAACATTGGCAAACATCCCCACTTCTGACCTGATGATGGAGGAAAGATCATTGATGAAGCAGCTGAAGATGGTTGGGCCGAGGACATTACCCTGAGGAACTCCTGCAGAGATGTCCAGGAGCTGAGGTGCTTGACCTCCAACAATCACAACCATCTTCCTATGTGTCAGGTATGACTCCAACCACTGGAGAGTTTGCCCCCTGATACCCAGTGATTCCAGTTTAGAAAGGGCTCCTTGATGCCAAGGGCTATCACTCTCACCTCACCTCTGGAATTCAGCTCTTGCGTTCATGTTTGAACTAAGGCTGTAATGAGATCAGGAGCCTAGTGGTCCTGGCAGAACCCAAACTGGGCATCACTGAGCAGGTTATAGCTGAGCAGGTGCTGCTTGATAGCACTGCTGATGACACCTTCCGTCAACTTACTGATGATTGAGAGTAGACTGATGGGGGGGTAATTGGCTGGGTTCAATTTGTCCTGCTTTTTGTATACAGGACATACTTGGGCGATTTTCCACATTGCTGGGTAAATACCAGTGTTGTAACTGTACTGGAACAACTTGGCCAGGGGAGCGGCAAGTTCTGGAGCATATGTCTTCAGTACTATTACTACTATTTCAGTCCTTGGTTATGAAGAATCTATCTGCCTTTACTTTAAAAATATTCAAAGACTCTGCTTCCACTATATTTTCAGAAAGGGAATGCCAAAGACTCGCGACCCGTAGGGAGCAAAATAAAAATCCCACATGCTTTACATGGGCATGTTCATTTTTAAAAAGTCATTTCTATATCTAGATACTCCCCAACAGGATACATCCTTTCCATATTGACCCTATCAATACTATCAGGATCATATGTTTCAATCAAGTTGCCTTTTACTTTACAAACACAAGCCTTTGCTCCTACAACAAACCACCCATTTCAGGCATTTGTATAGTAAACCTTCTCTCCACTTGCAACACATTTTCATCTCTTCTTACAGAGTCCACAGCATAAATTGCACTGTGTGGTGGGGGTGGGAAGATAAAAAAAATAAGCTTATTTTCAGAATTTACTAACCTGACTCAATAGCATTTTTCACATAGCTGATCAGATGCTTCCAAATAAGATTAAGCATGGCATCTACTGAAGATGAAAAATGGAAATAACATTGTTCACAATTTATGCCTGTGTTAATGGAAATCTGAAATAAAAACACTGGATGCACTTAAGTTCAGCATCATCTGAGGAGAGTAAATAGTTAAGATTTTAGTGGATGACTTTTTAGCAGAGTTCATGAATCAAAACATTAACTCTCCCTCTCTCCAGAGATACCGCATGAGATGCGAAGTGTTCCCAGTGTTTTTCATTTATATAACATATTTAATTTGGTCAACTTATTATTCCAATATTTACCTCAATTGCAGACCAAATAAATTTAATCACGCAATAGCAAAAGTTAACTTTCTACAGATAAAAAGGCCTAATTTCAATTAATTTTGTGATTGACAAGTGTTAACCTCATTTAGTATAATACAGTGCAAGTGCAAAAACAATCCTGTGCTAAAAAATGACTTACCTTCACCCAGCTTGCCAACAGAAAGGAATGCATCTCTAACAGCAGTTATAAAGGTTCCAGCATTCTTGCAAAAGAACGAACAGCTATTAATTAATGGGTGCTGCAGAGGATCTGTTGGAGACAACAATGGCACATTTCAAAGACAGCAAGAAAACAAGCAGTATAAATGCTTATATGTATAAAGACACATCAAAATTTGTTCATTAATCAAAGTTTACATGTTAAATACAGCAGAAAAAAATCCTTCCAATATAATCCATTGGTTAATTTCTGATTAACATCTAAAGCAGCCTGTTTCAAAATGGTGCCTTAGCTGTGGTTTTATTTCATTATTTGCTTCAGCTTTAGTTTAACATGAGCAGATGTTAACTTTAGCTGCAACAACTTCCGGAATGACCATCTTGCGGAATTTGAACTGTTTTGTCGAACGCGTTTGTAAACTTGCTTCGCTCACATTTTACATTCAATTGGCCTGGGTCCCTGAACCTTTCAATGTATCTATACAAATCCAAATTCAGACCTTCAGGGGCAATGTTTGCATTTGTATCAAGACGAGCTGAGCCACGCCAGTGAAACTACTGAATGAGTTTGGCAATCTGTCTCTCCTCCCTGAAGGTTAAGCCAAAATCCCAATTATAGCCCTGAGATGTGACTGAGACAACAGGGGTGTTTACTGTGAGAGAATCAACCAATAAAAGACAAGGGTCATTGCACCTCTAAAGAAAAGTGAGGCTCATTGTTCCAAGCAGCCATCCAGTGACATCCATAGAAACTGCAGCTCCAGATGTGTCACTCATTTCATTATGGTACAGGTCAAGCAAACCAATTAGGCATACCTAAACTCAGCTGCAGCTTGTTTTGTTGAACCAGATCAGTGACCGTAGGGCCCACCAGGAAATGAAGTAATACTTCGACTCCTACAAGTTGCACCGCTTGCATTACAGGCAAAGCGGAGAGGCTAGAATTCAACTGAAACCTTGGCACTGTTGGACTTGGCGAAGGAAAGCCTGAAAGAAAGTTAAATGCATGGACAATGATGTAGGGCAATAAAGGAGAAATTTTTATTGTGTTTTATTGCAGAATCATACAGACTGCCTGAAATATTTTAAGTATCTTACCTGATTTCTGTGCAGAAGCTGGAGTTGTATTAGGAGATACCATTCCAGTTCTACAGGGTGTTCCTGATGGTTGCACAGTTCCATCAATACCAAATGCATTCTGTAGCAGCGGGACACACACCTACCATAATAGTGAAAGGTTGCATCAAATATTTAATGCTGAGAAAATATCATTAACAATATCACACACTGATTTTCAGTGATCCTATTTCATAAACATTATAAAACCTGTTTAGCATCAAGTCATCTGGATAATGTTGCCTTCAAGCAAGTTTTAGTCATAAGCCTGACAGCAGTTAAAACAACCTTGAACAAGTGAGAACCTTTTTTGACATTTGAGGGCAGCTCCAACTTAGAGACATTTTTAAAAAGATGTTTAAATATAAATGAAACAATAAAAGGAATGAAACTTCATTCTGAAACAGAATTATCTACATATTAGGTTTTACTAAACTGAATCTGTTGCACGGGTAAATGGCTGCTAAGACTGCAACAAGACCTTTCTTGTAAGCCATAATATAGAAATAATCCTACTGGTGTAAATATGATGCAGCAAATCACAAAAGCCCAAGCGGTTTTGGCTAGCCTATTAGAAGATTACAATGCTCCCTTTATTACTAAACCTTTTCATCAGAAAGTAGCTGTGAATAAACGCAGTCTTGGTCAAATTTTCACAAACCTTGAGTAAGTGTTTTCAAAGCCAAGACTAATATTAAGATAAAAAGTCTCTAGGTATTATTAATCTACAAACATTCTCATATCAGTAAACTAACACCGAGCACTATTTCATTCCTGCTTTCAACAGCAGGAAAGGAATCAAATTGACCAGTCAGCAAAGACGACATGCAAACATAGCTGCACTCCTCAAATTCGAGATAGTGGGAACTGCCGATGCTGGAGAATCGGAGATAACAAGGTGTAGAGCTGGATGAACACAGCAGGCCAGGCAGCACCAGAGGAGCAGGAAAGCTGACGTTTCGGGTCTGGACCCTTCTTCATCATACAGATATGTTTGTGTCCAGATCTTACTTTTTGAAACCATGAAATTTTAATATCACCTCTATAAAGCTTTTATAAAGTATCCTTAAGATTTTCTTCGGTTTATCAAACAATGAAATAATAATAGTTCATAGACTTATGAGAAATATTTCACCAGGAAACAAAATTTTATTGAAAAATAGGGTGTTCAGATTAATGGATCTGCATTAACAACTTGCATTTATATATGCATGCCCACCTTGAAGTTCTGCTCCTCTCTCCGACGGGATTTCCGTTCCAATCTCTCTT